TATTTAAGTTTAAAGTCAAGAAAACTTTTACTTAGAAAAAATTTGTCCCTTTTCTATTGACTCCACCCCATATATCTGTAGTTTAATTTTAATGATTTTTTTATAATATTTTCAATTTTTACTGACAATCACTTGAACCAAAATTCTACTAATGAAAATATAAATTTTATTAAAAAGTCATAGTTTATATAGTAGTTTGTCTAGAGATTAATATTTGCTGCTATTATGAAACTCCTCTAAAAGGATATTTGGCATACAAGCCAAGAGTACTATTATACAAAATAACTAGCAGAGTGCTCTTGTATAAAAAATTTTAGTAAAATGTAGATAAAGCCCAACTTTATTAATAAAGCTTTTAGATCATTACTTCAAAAAAGAATACAAAAAAAACAATAATTAATATATTTTTTTCAAACTATACTTCTTTTACTTGGTTAAGTAGTTTTTTTTTTACTTACTTTTGCTTTTTTGTTGGTTTTTCAAAATTTTCAAAAAAAAGTAAAGATTTGACTTATCTCTCTCAAAAATTGGTATTATTTATATACCAAATTTGGATAAACTCAATAGACTATATAAATATAATACTACTTCATATAACTTGAATTGAGGTTTTTAATTAAAGAGATATTTGATAGTAGTTGTAGGTTTAAAATATATATATATATTAAGGTGAAGCTTTATAGTAGAAATATACAAATATTGTATTTAGTATATAATTTTTATTAGCCTTACACAGGTTTTTAATAGTATATTTTTATTATTTTTTTTGTTGTGATTATTTCTTAATAGAGATAGTTTACTTTGTTAGCCTCATAGACTTTTTTCTTTGTTTTTTTTTTTTATATTTTTTTGTTTTTATATTTTTTTCTTTTAAATTTCTCTTTTCATTATTTGTTTTTTTTTTTTTAAATATAGTTTTCCTTTTTTTTTAGTTTTGGTTTTGTATTGTAAATATAAAACTTTTTTTTTTTTTGCTCTTGGTAAAGAAAGGAAAATTAAAAGGATTAGTTTTTGACAGGCTAACAAAGTCTTCCAACTTTCTTAAAGCTGGTGCAACAGGTCATATCTGGACATGTTTATTATAGCTAGATGATACCAGGCTTGCAATTCTAAAATTAAATCTATATAGAATAAATGTTTAATTTATTAACTTTCTAATAAAGCACTGACAAGTATACATGTTGGCAAAATCTCAAATTACTATATTTGAGATTTGTCGATACCCAAATCCCAAATATATCCCAAATTAATTTCTTAAAAACTTTATTAATAATTTTTGTTTAAACAAATAGTAAATATTCTTATTGTTGTAAATAATATATTTGCAAAATTTTAAAATTACTTTTTTGATTTAATCTTTACAAATAGAAATTGTTTTTTTTAAATTTGGGATTTGTCTGTGTTTTGCTAGCAAGTATACTGACAAAACTATCAAAGATTAAAAAAAATAATTTATTTAAACTACAAGTACTTTGTTTTTTTGATTGTCTAGTGTTTACTATCTAATTTAATTTCAAAACTATTTGTCTAATTCAATAACTATTTGTTAAGTTTTATTGATTTTAATTACAATTATTTCTCTTTACAATTACTCACTCTATAATTATATTATATAAAAACCTTTCTTTATTATATTTTGCAAAAGAAAAAGCTATTTATACACTATGTGTATTTACATGGGTACTAATTAATTGATTTGCAAATCCACATAATATATAAAAAAAAAACAATTACTATTTGTACACAGGGTGTTTAAATATAGTTATACAAACTAAATAGAAAAACTAATTAAAATATAAAATTAAATACAGTATGTAGATCATTTTTGTACAACAAAAATAAAAAAAATTAATAATATCTAAAAAAAAAATCTTTGTAAAATTTTACTATAAACTATGTTTTTTATTAACTAGAACCTCCAATTCTAACCCTAATATTAATTAAAATATTTAATGTTTACTTAATACAGTAATAAAAATTAATTATAAATCATACTCGTGTTTCAAACATTTAGTAATTTTCTAAAAAAAAAACTACTCAATATGGTTAGAGGTTAGGGTTAGAGAGTATTTTATACTGAAATTTTGTATATATTATTTTTAGTTAGAGCCCGAAGAGTGGTTTTATAAGCAAAATTTTAAGTTATCATATGTACCCGTGTTTATACACTAGTGTACAAATACAGTAGTAATTGCCAAAACAAAAAATAAATTTTTTTTTAAAAAAAATTTTTGCTATCAGCTATCAAAATTATAAATTATAAAATGATTTACGTAATTTTAATAAAGCATCAAAAACGTAACTTTTGTACCGACAAGAGTAGAAATTGAGTCCGACGAACAATTATAGTATATATTTTTAATTTATCTTTATATAGTATTGTAGTTTTTATTTAATATTTTTTATTTTAATTAAAATTAAGGCCAATTTACAATATTAAAGTAAACAGATTTGTCTACTAAACTCTAGTTTAAAAAAATATAGAATTAGCATTTGGATTACAAAAATTTTTTTTGTGCTTCATGTTATACTACCAGGAAAAATGTAACAAACAATAATGTATACGGTGAACGAAGTAACCAACAACCCATAAATAGATATTCATCACTCCGGCCTGATGATCCAATGTGACCGATACTCCGGACTGAGTAACGGCGGCATTCTTGTTTCAGCACCGGGAAATCCAGGATTATAAATTCTATGACGAAATTTAGACCGTTGTGAAACCAGGCGGTTCAGCTTCAAAGAAAGAAAAAATATTTCTATTTTTTAGTCAACCTACTTACGCTTTTATTGCTGTGCTGAGGTAAAGAAACAAAAATTTCATCCTTTCGGCCCTCCGTAGATTATTTGATTCAAGCACAGGTACGTGTCTTTATCATCATCAGTACAATTTTTGAATGTATTGCTTCGTTCGACAATATGCTAATTTCACAACCGATAAACTCTTTAACATCAGAATACCAAAGATAACATCATGGAGTGGGCACCAACACAGGAAGGGCTTTCACAGCTGTTACAGCTGCTTAAAGATTCAGTCTCCTCAAATAACGAAATTCACACCATGATACAACAAGTATCCTTTATTCGAAACTTTTTATTTCATTCTAAATAAGTTGGCGTAGTTTTTGCTTCAATGGCAGCTCAAACGCGCTTATACAATTCATTAAGATCTTCATACTTGGAGTTTTTTTTTGCAGTTCATGGCGAATTATTATTACCGCGTTGTATGTTTAAAGATCTGTGAATTGCTTCGTCCCATTCTGTATTGCTTATTTACTTCACTGCGTATAGTTGACACTATTAACGTCTTCATTCAAAATTTATTCTACCATGTTCAGACATATGAACGAAGTTAATTTATTTATCCTTAATAAATTTTACCCCTTTATTCTTATTAGAAACTCGATTCATTTAATAAAATACCCGATTATCCAAATTACCTTGTCTACATTCTTACTCAAATGCCACAAGAAGAGGCATCAACTCGTGCAATCGCAGGTTTACTTTTAAAAAACATTATCCGCGTGCATTTTTCGTCAATTCTAAGTGAGGTGCTCGCATATGTAAAGACATTATCGATTAAGGGATTAGGAGATCCAGATGTTATGGTCCGAGGTATTATCGGAAATGTTATTACCACAATCGTAACGAGAGGAGGTTTGGCGGATTGGCCGCAAGTCTTACCGAGTTTGATGGAGTTATTGGACTCTCCAGACTATAATGTTGTAGAAGTTAGTATTTTATTTTATTTTATTTTTTTTATAATATATATTTAAGCTTTAATTATTTGAACTTTCATGTTAATAATTTGCTGTTGAACTTAGGGCGCATTTGGTGCATTGCAAAAAATTTGTGAAGATTCTGCACGGGAACTTGATCAGGATATTGAAGGAACACGACCACTTAATTACATGATTCCAAAAATAATTGCATTCTTTGATTCTCCACATGTAAAAATTCGTGTATACGCAATATCATGCATAAACCAATTCATTCTTATGCGATCGAATTCTCTTTTCATTCATATTGATGCATTTGTGGCGGCTCTCTTCAAAAGAGCCGGCGATGAAAATCCAGAGGTCCGTAAAAATGTTTGTCAAGCTCTGGTAATGTTGCTTGAGGTACGTCCTGATAAGCTTATGCCTGAAATCAATAATGTTGTGGAATATATGCTCTACTCCACTCAAGATCAAGACGAACAAGTTGCGCTCGAGGCATGCGAATTTTGGTTAGCATTTGCAGAACAAGAAGAGCTTCGGGAGCATTTGCGCCCATTTCTTGATAGAATTGTCCCTGTATTGTTAAAAGGCATGGTGTATAGCGAAATGGATATCTTGACTCTTGGAGGGGATGAAGATGATACCGACGTTCCTGATAGCGTAACAGATATTAAACCTCGTTTTCATCGGGCAAAAACACACACATTTGAACGTACAGAAACAAACGGTGGTGAAGCCTCTACACCTGGGAATCGCGAAGAGGAAGATGATGAAGATGATGAGGACGATGATATGGACGACGATGATATTTATTCTGAATGGAACCTTCGAAAATGTTCAGCAGCTGCATTGGATGTACTTGCTACCGTTTTTGGTAATGTATTGCTGGAAATTTTATTGCCATTCTTAAGAGAACAACTGTTTCACCAAGAATGGAAACACCGAGAATGTGGAATCCTAGCTCTTGGAGCTGTTTCAGAAGGTAGGTCGAAACGAATGTAAACCATCATTTCTTTTACCAACTATTGACATGTAATCTCTGTTTCCATTTTTGTCACTTCAATAAAATAAAAGGATGCATGGAAGGAGTGGAACCTCATTTACAAAATTTGGTCCCTTATCTTATCCAAACTCTTAATGACCCCAAGGTGTCATTGTGTTCCAACTATTGAATGAGTCCTTATATAAAACAATATTACACAACCAAATTTTAATAGTCTGCTTCCGTTTACTGTTTAGCCTCTTGTCCGTTCAATCACGTGCTGGACCTTGGGCCGTTATTCTCGATGGTGTGTAAATCCTTCCAGTACACCACAAGATAGATCAAAATATTTTGAACCTTTGTTAGTTGGGGTGAGTTATTTGTCATAGTTTCCCATTGTGTATTAAATTAAAAATTATTAGATCATATAACATTGCGTTTTTTGTTCCCTACTATTGCTTTTCCCTTTATTCACTTTAAGCTCTTACACAGGGTTCTTGACAACAATAAGCGTGTTCAAGAGGCAGCTTGTAGTGCCTTCGCTACTCTTGAAGAAGAAGCTTGCGAGTTGCTCATTCCTTATTTGGATCCAATTCTTCGGAATCTTGTTTTTGCTTTCACTAAATATCAACACAAAAACCTGCTCATTCTTTATGATGCCATTGGTACCTTAGCCGATTCAGTTAGTGGAGCACTTAATAAAAAAGAGTATATAGACATCCTTATGCCGCCACTCATCGAAAAGTGGCACTTGCTCAAGGATGACGACAGAGATTTGTTTCCATTGCTGGAGGTTTGCAGAAATATATCAAAGTTCATTTCTTTCAGATTATCTAATTTCATTTCTTTATGGACTTACAAGCTCGAATATAATCAATGCAGTGTTTGTCGTCTGTCACAACAGCTCTTGGATTAGGATTCCAGCCTTTTGCACAACCAGTTTTTGAACGTTGTGTCAAATTGATCCACAATACCTTGCTTCAATACCAACTTCACCAACAAAATCCATCATTGGACATGCCGGATAAGGATTTTATGATTGTTGCCTTGGATTTATTAAGTGGTTTGACACAAGGATTAGGAAATCAGATTGAGGGTCTTGTATCCAGCAGTTCTCCGCCATTATTATCTTTGCTAAGCGTCTGCTTAACAGTACGTCAATTTATTTTATTTGAAGTTTTCACTTTAAAGTATATGTTCGCTAATAGTATATTAATATACAGGATCCTGTCGCTGAGGTTCGACAATCCGCCTACGCGCTTTTAGGCGATCTGTCAATTGCTTGTTTCACTCATATCAAACCTTATCTTAATCAATTCATGGTCGATCTGATTAGTCAAGTCGATCCAAATGCTGAACACGTTAGCGTTTGTAATAATGCAGCATGGGCAGCTGGTGAAATCGCATTGCAATGCGGTAGACTATCCTTGACTATCCTTTTTAAATTAGAATGGCAGTTTTTACAGATTAAAATTTAACCCTGCATGAATTTCAATTAATTAGGTTCTGAAATGCAACCATGGATTCCTCCTCTGTTGGAACGATTGATTCCTCTTCTGATAAGTGAAACTACCCCTAGAACTCTTTTGGAAAACGCTGGAATTACTATTGGCAGGCTAGGTTTGGTATGCCCACAATTGGTTGCACCACATCTAGATACATTTTCTGAAGCTTGGTATTGTATATATTGCATTGTATAATTCCTATTAAAAGAAGCAATAAAATAACATTTATTACTTTTATTTATTTTTGCGACAGGTGTAAAGCTTTGAGGTCAATTCGTGATAATGACGAAAAAGATACCGCTTTTCGAGGCCTATGCGAGATGATTCAAGTTAACCCCAATGGGATTGCGAAGGTTATTTTCATTGACGTCAATGAATAAAGTTATTATATTAATAATTTCATTTTTATTAAGTCTATCTTCTTTGTACACTTCAGAGCTTCCTATATTTTTGCGATGCAGTCGTTCAATGGCAACAGCCTCCAGACGAACTAAATGAAATATTTCGTAAGGTAAAGAAAACTTTTTGAAGTTTAATTAAAATTTGGCCAATTTAATTATATATAATTTTTCCTTGTAGATCCTGAACGGTTTCAAGCAAATGATGGGCCCTAATTGGGAAGCGTACACAAATCATTTCCCACATCACATAAGGCAAAGGCTTCTTGAGCGATATGGACTTTAACGGAAAATTCAAGTTCACATTTGTTTTTAAATATTGCTTATTTGTCTATTTAGTCTTTGATTCGTGTCTATTTAATTTGGTCTTTGAGTATCATTTATAAATTCGGCAACTATGTTTATATGATCTGCTTTTACAAATTATTTGTCCAGAATTATAACGATCTCCGTTTCCTAATATATTAAAAACATCCATCCATTAAAATAACACTTATAAATAATATTACGATAAGACTTTATACTTTTTGCATAGTAAATGGCCAACATAAATGAATAAGTATACAATATTGGGCAAAAATTGTCGAATAACGGTAATTTGGCAAATGGGCACGTGCCGCTTTGCGGCACGTT